TTCCCACTTTTGCTTTCTTGATGGCTACTCGGGATTCTTCCAAATCCCCATTCACCCTAGCGACCAGGAGAAAACCACCTTTACATGTCCATATGGCACCTTTGCATACCGTAGGATGCCTTTTGGTTTATGTAATGCACCGGCAACATTTGAGAGATGCATGGCTGTTGTGTTTTCTGATCTCATTGAGGATGTTATGGAGGTGTTCATGGATGATTTTTCTGTCCATGGGCCCTCCTTTCCCGTGTGTCTAATGAATTTGCGCCGAGTGTTGGACAAGTGTGTTGAGGCGAATCTTGTGCTGAATTGGGAGAAGTGCCATTTCATGGTCCAAGAGGGCATTGTGCTAGGCTACAAGATTTCGAGCAAGGGGATTGAGGTTGATCGAGCTAAGGTCGAAGTGATAGAGAAGTTGCCGCCTCCACGGAATGTTAAGGGAATCCGGAGTTTTCTGGGACATGTCGGGTTCTACATGAGGTTCATCAAGGACATCTCGAAGATTTCGAGGCCTTTGACCGAACTACTTGCAAAGGATGTGCCCTTTGAGTTCACCCATGAGTGTCAGGCCGCCTTTGAAACTCTGAAGAAGGCGTTGATCTCTCCACCCATCATCCAGCCACCGGATTGGGAAGCTCCCTTTGAGCTTATGTGCGACGCTAGTGATTTTGCAGTGGGGGCTGTTTTGGGTCAGAGGAGAGACAGGAAGCTTCATGCCATATACTATGCGAGTAGAACCTTAGACGATGCTCAGATGAATTATTCTACAACCGAAAAGGAGCTACTCGCTATAGTATTTGCCTTTGAGAAGTTTCGGTCTTATTTGGTCGGGTCGAAGGTGATTGTCTACACCGACCATGCTGCCTTGAGATATCTCCTATCCAAGAAGGATGCCAAGCCGAGGTTGATCAGATGGATTCTCTTGCTGCAAGAGTTTGACTTGGAGATCAGGGATAGGAAGGGTACAGAGAATGGAGTGGCCGACCACTTATCTCGGATTGAGCGACATGAAGATATTCCCATTGATGATTGTCTCCGAGATGATTGCGTGATGGCTGTCCAGGTGAAGGATAGAGACCCGTGGTACGCAGATTTTGTCAACTTCATTGTCAGTGGGTACGTTCCTCACGAGTTGGACTACAACGGGAGGAAGATGTTCTTCAGAGACATCAAGGACTATTTTTGGGAAGAGCCTTATCTCTTCAAGAGAGGCAAGGATGGCCTCTTTAGGAGATGTGTGCCCGAAGAGGAAGTCCGGAGTATGATTCATCATTATCACTCTTCGGACTATGCTGGTCATTTTGGAGCATCGAAGACCTCGGGTAAAATTCTTCAAGCCGGGTTTTATTGGCCGTCAATGTTCAAAGACGTTCATCAATACGTCTCCTCTTGCGATGCTTGCCAGAGAACAGGGAACATCTCCCGCCGTCACGAGATGCCTCAGCATTACATCTTGGAAGTCGAGCCCTTTGATGTTTGGGGCATAGACTTCATGGGACCGTTCCCATCTTCTTATGGGAACCAATACATCCTTGTGGCGGGCGGTTTCTTTCACACGGGGGTAGAAGCGATGGCGAGTCCCACTAACGACCCGAAAGTGGTGACAAAGATGTTCAAGAGGGTGATTTTTACGAGATTCGGGACGCCAAGGGTCGTGATTAGCGATGGAGGATCTCACCATCAACCGCACCATAGAAGCGCTTTTGAAGAAATATGGTGTGAGACATAAGGTGGCTACCCCGTATCACCCTCAGACAAGCGGACAAGTTGAAGTCTCAAACAGGGAGATCAAGGCGATACTTGAGAAGACGATGTCAAGGTCAAGGAAAGATTGGGCGTCCAAGCTTGATGACGCCCTATGGGCGTATAGGACAGCCTTCAAGACACCCATCGGTATGTCTCCCTTCCAACTTGTCTATGGGAAAGCTTGTCACTTGCCGGTTGAGCTTGAGTATAGGGCATATTGGGCAATCAAGAAGCTGAACTTTGATTGGAAATCCGCTGCGGAGAAGCGAGTGTTACAGCTTCACCAACTCGATGAGATTCGGTTGGATGCCTACGAGAATGCCCAGATTTACAAGGAGAGAACCAAGAGATGGCACGATCGTCGGATTTTGCAGAGGGATTTTAGAGAAGGTGATCAGGTACTTCTCTTTAACTCAAGCCTCAAGCTATTTCCAGGCAAGTTGAGATCGCGTTGGTCGGGGCCTTTCACGATTAAGCATGTCTACCCTCATGGAACGATAGAGTTATATGGCTATGGAGGGGATACGTTTAAGACCAACGCGCAAAGGCTGATGATTTATAACCCCGGGGAGCACGAGAAAGAGAGGAGCTCGATGAGCTTCTCTGATCCTCAAGACGAGTGAACAACCCCGCGGTCAAGCTTAGGACCATAAATAAGCGCTCTCAGGAGGCACCCCGAGCTTGTAGATATCCTTTTTAGTATCCTTTTTGCATTGCATGTTTATTTTTCTGCATTTGGGAACTTAGACACATGATGTGATGATGTGATCTTGATGGCTTATGTCTTTGCTATGATTATACCAGTTTCACTTGATTTTCTCTCTTTCTGAGTTTCGATTTTGGAAGGTGAACACTATCGAGCAACCGAGACGATACACAATGTGGAATCATTCACAAGTGGAATGCAGGGAGGCATCTTTTATCCTTGGACACAAGGTTATATACTTAATTTTTCCCTCCTATTTCATTTAGCTCTGAATTTCCTATTCCACATATCCGCCCCTTCGGATTCGAGTGACACCGCGGACGGTGTCTCATTCAAGTCTGGGGGGGTTGAGATCTAACATCGCTTCAAGTCCCTTTTTAGAGTGCATTCACACATTCAC